ACAGTAGAAGAAGATGCTTCCTCAGCAGATGTACTGAGATATACACTGAGTGAAAACCTGTTTGGGGGCCATGCACATCAGTGCCTTGTCGTAGCTCTCAGGACACTGTACTGGGCAGAAGCATGGATTGACAGCCAACAAATCTGGTCTACTGATAAGCCCTGAATCCACGTGTCAAGGGGCTCTCCCAAGGCCCTCATGGCCTGTTTCTCTTGTCTCATCCTTCAGCTCCCTGACCCAGTAGATGATATGCCATCCACCATGTAAAAGGCAGTCCCAAAGTAGTGACACCAGTTTCTAAGTTGAGTTCCTTACGTCATTGATTCTAAGACACACATTTTCCCCCGCATTTCAACATCTTTGAAGTTGGGATGTGTCCCCCAATCAATGATGACTTATAATTATAGTTAGCAATGTTTTTTTTTCTTTCTCAGGAATATTTAAAATAATTGGTGTGCCAATCAATCAAGGATGTCTTATAATTGAAGAATACAGTCATGCCAATGCTCATTTTATTTTTACCCTTCTATCAAATCAACACCTGGGCTTCGATCTCTCAGCCTTCACTTCTGAGACCTACATCAAAGAAAGGTGTTCTTTATGCTCATCTGTGTGACTCACCTCCCATGCCATTCCTTTAAGCAGGAGATGTCCTAGAAGTGAGGCTGGCCTGGGTCTCCAGGATCTGATAGTCCTGTTATCAAATTGCTATCATGATGTTTATTTTTCATTCCCTCCTTCCTCTATCTTATTAGTAGTTTTATGGCATTACAGGAAATTGCAAAGCAGGGAGTCATATTTTAAGATTTGTGGGCTCACCTAAGTATTTATTTCCTTGAGTCTGATGTTAGTCACCAATCACTCCACCATCCAGAAATGAGTTTGATTGAATTTTAAGTTTTCTCTAAATGGACTACCCATTTAAAAAATCTGCATGTGGGAATGGGCTGGTTTCCTTGATAATTGTCCTTTTGTATCTCTAATTTTAATTGGACTAATCATTAAGGTAATTTCTTTGTTCATGTTAGTACAGAAATTGCCTGGATGTATTAAAAGTCACTATTAATTATGTGTGCATCACACTTGATTTCCAGAAAACATGTGGCTTTCTCATCACATTTTGCCAGAAGCTATTTTCCCTGAAGGTTGTATCTTAGGGGACTTGATTTCACCTTATTTGAGAATAAAGGAAAACAATTAGAAATATCTTGAGAAAATACATTTCAGGGGAAGATAAATTATCTGGAAGACTCAAAAGGAGCATTTACCTCTTATAATAACCTACTATAGGAACCAGAAGAATGTCAGAAAGCTGGTATCCTTAGTATATATGGCTCAAAAAGACATGGTTTCTAAGAAATAGAGTCATGGGGGGAGAATAGACTAAGATGAAAGATTTGAGGTGAAAATGGAGATAAAGTAAGGATAGTATGCAAAATGATAAAATGTTTAATATCAGCATTAAAATCCACATGAATTTTGCTGAATTAAAATCAGTGAAGTGGGAAATACTGACAGACCGTCAGAATGTAAGGAAAATTTCAACAACAGAATCAGTGAGACGATAACAATAGATTTAGAGAGCAGAGATCCAACATATGGATAACTGGTGATCCTGCAGGAGACACTAGAATAAGACTATTCTGACCTAAAGGCAGGTGGGAATGTGTTTTTCAGGGTAGGTGACCTGCCATAACAACAGCCTCAGAAACTCCAATCAAATAGATGCTCAGTGGGCTGCTTGCAGTGACTTCCCGTTTTCTTCCATTTGGTGGCTGCGTCATTTCCTAGAGCCTGGAAGTTTCCACTGCATCCTCTGCCTCCAGCAGGGAGGCAAGGGAGGAGTAAGGGAGTGGACAAGGCACCTCTGCTCTTAATTGCCTTGGCTTGGCTGCTGGGGATGACATTATTTCTGCTTACTTTCCACTGGCTTACATTCCCTAGGGTCCTGTCCAGACAGAAGCGGGGCTGGGAAACATAGGCTCCCAGGAAGAAGAGGAAATGGGTTTGGGGAGCACATAGCATTGTCTCTGACACATGGATACGCAAACATACACACAGAAATATACAGAAGGTGAAATAGCTCTTTCCTTAATATCCCCATAATAAAATCCAATAAGTGAAGTGGAAAATACTGACAAACTGTCAGAATGTAAGGAAAATGTCAACAACAGAATCAGTGAGACGATAACAATAGATTTAGAGAACAGAGATCCAACATATGGATAACTGGTGATCCTGCAGGAGACACTTAGAATACAGAATCATCAGAGAGAGGAGTGAACAGTCAAACAACATCTCTCCTATTTTCGCTATCCTAGGAATGGACAGTCAACATCTCTCCTATTTTTGCCATCCTATTCTTAACACCCTATCATGGCCTGAGCCTCACTGCTCAGGCTTTTGAGATGTCTCCACATGGATGTTCCAGAGGCCAGCAGTTCCCCATGTGAGCCTTTTGACCTCCTACCCTTAACATACTCCCTCTGCTTCCCACCATCTCCTCTCTCTGGGCCTACTAACTTTCCTCCTTCCCCTCCTCCACACCAGCACTCCCAAGTCTCATTTCAGTTTTGAATGTTCACAGCTTCCCCAGTCTGGAGAGGGGAGAGATAGTGCAGGATTACCCTCCAGTTTAGATACAAAATGTTCCTATCTTCTCTTATGCCCAAACAGTGGGGGGAAATGCCCAATAAAAAGAACCCACAAAACAACTTCAACCTTAATGTGCCAAATGAGCATTTATTCCCACCTCTTATGGCTTAGGATATGGCTTATTCTATTAGACAAAAAAGGATACATACCTGATAGCTGTTTCCTGGATTTCTTGACGGGGGGTGGTTGGGGATGGGGACAAGACAATCCTGTCACATGATCCAATGAGTTACACTTTACCTTCCTATTGAAGGACGCTCTCAGATTGGGCCAAGGAGCAGAATCAACTGTTTCATGTTTGAATTTGATTGAGGTGAAACTTTTCAAAATATAGCTCCATTGAGTTGCCTGAAGGCAAAAGGCAGGCAAGGTGACTGCTTAAAAGTATCTGTGACTGGATTCCAGGACAGCCTGAGGTGCAACAGTAAATCAGGACAGTCAGCTCAATTAGACAGCCTTTTTGATGGGCTTTTATCTGCATAGTCTCCCAGTTCGACCTTTTTACTGAAGGCACTGAGTATGGGAAGACTGAGCCCAGCCATCCTGCTAGCTCAGCACTGTCTCTGCATCACCAGGGCTTCCCCAACAACCCTTTCTTTCCTTTCATGAAGGCATGAGGTCCACATGGTTTTGTGATCAGTGGCAGAGGCTGCTGATGAGTGGGTTAAAGCCCAGTGCTGGAGCCTCGAGGTTAGGACCCCCTGGTCACTTTCATGAACCTCCACCAGATCACTGTGCCCCAGTCTTGTAATCATCTCTCTGTGAGCCGCCCCCCACGCCCCTGTCCTGGGCCTTTTGAGAAATGGGATTGCAGTTGCATCCCTTTGTGTCCCCAGTGGCGAGCCAGGTCCTGACCCATGGCAGATCTTTTAGTGGAAGGATTGTATTGAGTCCATATGAAGCAAGTCTCATAGGTGGCTGTACCCACACTGCAGTGACTGGCAGCCCTGGAAGTGCAGGTGGGTGACCCACCACCAGCTGTCACCACTGCAGCCCACCTGTCCTCTTGAGGGGCCAGTGGATCTTCTATACCTAAAAGCTCAGCTCACTTTGTCAGAGCGAGTCCCAGAGGTGCCTACTCTCTCCCTTGCCTCCTAATCCCCATTGCTGTGCTGGGAAAGAGCTTGGTTCTGAGCCCCGCATGCCAGAAATAGGAAGTAGAATCATCCTTTCTGGTGCTGGCCAAGTCCTCAGGGCTTCCACCAGGAATATAGAACTTGGGCTCTGGCCATTTGCTGATGTCCATTCCCCTCCCCGCCCCACTTCCTACCAGGCCCCTGGCATCTGCTCACCTTTGTTTGAATGAGGGGCAGAAAGTGTGGTGAAGTAAAAGGAGAACAGGCTCTGGAACTAGAGGGGTTCAAACCCAAGCTCTGTCGTTCACCAACTCTGCAGCCTGAATCAAGTCACCCAGGTTCCTGCAGTCTCAATTTCCTCTCCCGAAAAACCAGGATGCTGGGTCCTTCACTGCAGGGCTGGGCATAGCACTGGGCACTTATTGGAGTTTCACAGCTTTTGTGGATGGAATAATGTCTTTCTTCAGGATCTAACTCAGGACCTTGGTCCTCATAATGTGCACCCAAGGTTTCCAGTCTCCCTTCCCAAAAAGCGTTGAACCCATTCATTTCTGATCACCTCGGCGTTCATTGTCAGGGCCCTGTAGTGTGTTGGCCTTAATAGTGAATTACATATCTGCATATATGTGCATGTATCTGTGCATGTTTCATTTACATGCATGTTTTTCATGAATACAAACATGACTGTGGGCCTCTAGCAGGCAGGGCCATGTCTCGTTTCTCCCAGCCATCTTCCCTCTCACATCAATTCCAGTTCTTGCTCATTCCTGGGCAACAACAGATACTTGACAAATTAACTGTTGATTTAGTTAGCGGGTATGGGAATGATTCCAAGTCCGTAAGAAAGAATACTCAGTCCATTCATTCCCCAACAGTCTAATTCCGGGATAGAAGAACAGAAAAGCATTGCCTCCCAGCTATTAGGTTTGAGGCTGTTTGCTGGAGGGCTTTTAAAATTCACTGGACTTCACTAGGAATGTTTGCACCAGGGATGCCCAGAAATAAGTAACTTACGGGGCCTGCAGCAGTGAAGGGGTTAAAGGATTCTTCCAACTAAGATGGACATAGACTTTACCCTCGCTGTCCTGCCTCTTTCTTTCTTCTTTACAACTATTTTTGGCTTAAATGATCACAGCAGTTAATACATAATCTAGAACTTTGTAAAACTCAGAAGTATTTGAAGAAATGATGATAAGCTTTCCCTATAATCCCACTGGCCAGAGGCATGAGCTTTCTCTCTATCTGAACACATCAGGCAGGGTGTGGTCCAGTCCCTTATTCAACCGTCTTCATTTATTCTGCAAAAGTAGCAGCAGCTCAGCCCTGAGCGTCTCCTGTCTCACTTGTGGGAGTCTCATTCAGGGATCGGTGAGTCTGGCTTCTGACTTCAAGCCTAAGTCCTGGAACAAATGCTACACTGTCCTTGTTGGGAGCTGACCCGTAGGACCAGGGCCTGGGGCTTTCAGAGGCCAGGACAGCTGACAGACCCATAGCCATGGCTGTTGGGGAGCACCTGGGAAGTGGCAGCTTGTGTCTTTCCACTTTGAGCTCTGGGTGCTGAGCCACACAGACTGTCTCTTCCTGTCTGGAGACTCCCCCACTGAAGTGGCAGGAGACAGCGCCTGCCTCTGCTCAGGGCACATGAAGCTTAGGTTGATTTTAACAAAAAGTCAGACAACTCGGGCATCTGTTACTCCCCTTATAGACCTTTGTTTCTCTTATAGCCACAAGGAACGATCCATAGAAATGCGATTTCATACTCCAGTGGTTACATGTACTTGGTCTTCAGTGGGACAGGGAAGAAGATGCTTGGTGACAGGAAGCACGTCTCGTGATGTGTAGTCTCCAGCTGCCATCCTACCAGGGCGAATCCCAAGCAGGGACCCTGCTGAGAGGCTGCAGAGGTGTGAGGAAGTGAGCTGGCCAGGCTGAGAGGGAGCTCCTGGGCTCCTCTGTGCAGAGAGGAGGGTCCCAGGCAAGAGAGGTGAGGGGGTGCTCAAGGGAGGAGATGAGAGAGAGAGAGAGGGCAGGGCTGAACATGGGAGAGCCAAAGGGGTTGCTGTGTGTGTTGTGTGGTATGTAATATTACCTTCTTCTCTGTCTCCCCATAATTAATGTCAGATTTATTAATGTAAGAGTTGCAGTCTGTTGCTGGGTTCTGCCTCAAGTTAGGCAAGAAGGGTGGCTGAGGGGCCAGCCACTGGGTTATATACCAAGACAAGAGGTGATTTGGGCACTGAGGCACCTGCCATGCACTCCTCCATGAACACTCAGCACCTTAGCCTTCAGGGTCTGTCTCCTCACACTGTATCATGAGCTCCCCTCAGGCCTCACTTGCCGCTGGGACCTCAGGGCTGGACAGGGCTGCTTTGTTAAGTGGGCCCAGCTCTTCCCAATTTACCTTCAACTAACATTTGTTCAGCACCTAACTGGCACCAGGCTCTATTGCAACAGGGAGGATAGAGAAATGCAGAGACACAGGCCGCCTGCCAGGAGCTCACGGTAATAGATTGTTGCTGCCGGGCTGCAAGTGGAATGGAAGAGGCAAGTAAAAGTGATGTGAGAGCCCAGGGCGGGGGTGTAGGGGGCAGGCTTCCAGAGGAGAGGACACCTGAGCTGCAGGGAGGAGGTGAAGAGAGGAGGGTGTTCCTGGCAGACTCCAGCCCCAACCAAGAATCTGCTTTGTGCCTCTTGGGTCCTGGGAATAGCCCCTGGAGAGCGAGGCAAATGCAGAGAGGTCAGGGGGCTGGGAGTAGAGGTGTCATCTGAGTCTCAGCCTCATCCTACAGGGTAGCTGTCCTCAAGGAGAAGGGGCTGGGCAGAGGGAAAAATGCACAGCTCCCAGCTGGGCATCAATGGGCTTGGATTGTTAACATGGGGTGTGCATTTGGTTTGACAAAGCCCGTTCAGATTTAACATTTTATATTTGGAAAATGTGAAAAGTATACCTGCCATTTTGGTAATAAAGGCTAAATTTGATTAGGTTTTGGTTGGAAAAGCAGGGCTTTAAAGAACAACAACAAAAAAAAGTTAAGGAACACTGCCCCTGGCGACAGAGATGGATTTTTAGCAGGGCAGTGTCAGGCATGGGCCAGGAAAGACTGTGGACCAGAGATCATTAAAGGATGGAGAGATGGAGGCATGATTCAGGGCCTGGCACTGCGGGTGGAGAGATATTTAGGACATAAAACCAGAGACCTTAGTGACCAATTAAATGTGCAGGGCAAATTGAGGGAGTCAAGGTGGGATTCCATGGTGGGATGCCTGGTTGGTAGGGGGCAGAGAGGAGGGGGCGGGGGAGGCTGTGGTGTGGGGTAGGCAGGAGTGATGGTCCGTTTGCAGGTTGACTTTTAAAGAGGCTGCAGGACACAGGAGTAGGCAAAGTTCCCTGAGTGTTTTAATGTCCGGGCTCACAGTCCAGAGCAGCCAACAAGGACTAGAATGCACTGCCCTAACTCCTGCTGCCTCACAGCCCAGCGTGATTGCACACCAAGAGCAGGGGGCCGGTGGCTCTGAGGGGGCTGTGCCTCTGGTGCTCTCTGAACCACCCAGGGGATGTCAGGCATCTGTTTTCACTACATGGGGCACCGTGGCTCACACTGTCCCTTGCATCTCCGCTCTGCCTGAGGGATGTGGGGGCTGGAAGCTGGAGAGAGCTAGGTTCTCAAAGCATGTGCTGGGAAGCTGAAGGCTGCACAAGGGGTGATGCTGTGCTTGGTACAGCAGCTTCAGCAGGCTCAGAGGGTTCTGTCTGGCCAGGATTATCTAAATTCCCCCAGGACAGCAGCTGGGGCCTCACTAGAGCAGCCCTGGCATTAGGCCTCTTTCTCTTCCTTCTCTCATTAAAGCTTGCTGATCTGGTGCCTGTCTTGCCTGCTCAGCCCAACTCCACGATCAGAAATTTGACAGTTTCATTGCCACAGGACAATGGTTTCTAGATAATACATTTGCCTCAAATACCTCTCAGGACTATTTTCATTTTAATCAGGGCATAACACCATAACCCAAGGAATGTGCTCTGATGGGGAATTTCAGCAGCAGTGGGGGTTGAGGTGGGAATTATTTTGTTCACTGTATATTTACACTGGGGATAAATGTTTGCTTTCTTACAGGAATGGTGCAGGCTACTTCTGGGGGCAAAGGATTAATTCTATTAGTAAACACACAAAAAAGCTGAGATTCTGAAAATTCAAATCTTAGCAGGTTATGGCCACAGGGCAGCCTCAGACCTTCTGGGGAAGGGGAGGAAGCTGGTGCTTGAGGCTGCAAGATTGGTCCTTAAGGAGGGCAGTGGAGATACATCAGCAAACCCCACCATTGGAGAGAGGCAGCATCAAGTGGTGGCTGGGACCCTGTTCTAGTTAAAAATAGAACCTTTTGGAGAAAGACCTCAGTCGGCACTGGATGTGCAGCGCGCAGAGTCTCGCTCTTAGAAGCAACTTACAAGTTCCTAAGTAGAATCGTGAGCATCAGGACTGGGCTCAGGGACCATCCAGGCACTGAAACACTGAGCCCCAGGCCCCCTGGCTGGATTGAGGAGGAGGCTGAGCCTTAGTGGGTGTGCAGGTGTCCTGGATTCCCACAGGCACATTGTACCTACCAAGATGAGTTTTCCTTGTCCCTCATTGGTGGGACGAGTCTCTCCGAATGGCTCCACTCTGGACAGCACTGGGTCAGGGATGGACCTGAGCTGCCAGTGAGCCAGAGCCATGGGCAGGCGGCGGTAGGGTGGGGGTGGTCAGGGATGCTGCCAGCCCTGGATGAGACAGCCCCCAGCAGCTCTGGGTCAGAACAACAGGATGTCCAAGTGAAAATGGAAAATGATCACTTGTCATCACTTGTCTTTATTTTTAAACATTTTGACAATTAATGCTTTGAAGACCTTGATTCCTAGGAGTTTTAGACTAGTAACTCACCCTAGTTTGTAAGGTATTAACAACTTTATATTCCTCCTTAGTAGTACTTTAGAATCTATTATCCAGGTATTCGCTGGGGCCTTTCTTCCCCTCGAACTCTAGGTGAAATGGCCTTGAATTCACCCATGGACAGCCTGTGCAAATCTAAAACTCTCCCATTTTCCTGGGATGCAGTATTCTTCAGGCTGCTTCTGCGTCTTGGACTGCATCCAAACATCACTCACATTAGCATCTGTGAGTTTAGCAGCTGTTAGTGAAGTGTTTTGGGGGTCTTAGGAATGGAGATCCTCCCAGCTCAGCAACTAGCAACCCCGTCTGGGCTCGTGCAGGAGTTCCACATTCTGCACCCTCCACTAGGCCAGGGCAACTGCTGTCCCTGGAGGCCTTGCCAGTCAGGACTCAGCAAAGAGATTATCCAATTCTTTTCTTTAAAAGGAATTTTTATCCCAATTGTAAAGATAATGCAGCTTTCTTTACCTTTTTTTTTGAGACAGAGTCTCACTCTGTCCCCCAGGCTGGAGTGTAGTGGCGTGATCTCGGCTCACTGCAACCTCCACCTCCCGGGTTCAAGCAATTCTCCTGCCTCAGCCTCCCGAGTAGCTGGGAGTATAGGCACCCACCACGATGCCCGACTAATTTTTGTACTTTTGGTAGAACGCGGTTGCACCATGTTGGCCAGGATGGTCCCGATCTCTTGATCTCGTGATCCCCCCACCTTGGCCTCCCAAAGTGCTGGGATTACAGACATGAGCTACTGCACCCGGCCTCTTTACCTTTTTAAAGGCATAATTTGCTTTTAAAATAAAAATTTGTTTCAAGTTCATTTTAAGGAATTTCCCAGAAGCTCTTATAAATCAGGTAAAGAGTCATGGTGGTGCAGGCAAGGCTCTGACACTTGTTGTGTTTGTGTGTTGCAGTTTCCACCTGGATGTTTGAGGTTGTGTAGATGTGGCCGGCACCCTTGAGAGTGGAACTGGGGGGTGCAGACTGAACACTGAACGGAAGGAGCCTTGGACAGGGCTGGGCCAGTCTCTCGGTAAGTAAGCAGCAGTTTCTGGCAGTGATGGGGGTGACGCACACTTTTTGGTTGGGCCCATCACATGAGGTGCAGACAAGGCCCTTTGCATGAGGATGAGCTTCCAGACACTCAGGTCGTTGCCATGAACTCCCCTTATCCTGCTGACTCAAGACCTACCACAGAACCTGAAGGACCTTAGAAGTCACTAGTCCTCTCCCTGCCTGTGACTCAGCAAAGACAGAAGCCCCTTTACAGCATCCTGTGCTCACTCTGACTCCCAGCAGAGACAACTCCCCACCTGACAAGACAGCCTGTTCCACCTTCCCATTACTGAGCAGCTCCTGCCCTTAGGAAGTTCTCCCCTGTGCCCTCAGCTGCAATCTGCCTGTCTGTAAAAACCACCTGGTTTCCTAGTTCTGGCCTCTGAGGTTCTAGAGAACCAGCCTAATCCTTCTTCCACATGGCAGCCCAGCAGATGTTCTGGGGCAGAATGATGGAGTGGAGAAGTGCAGGATGTGGGGCTAGAGACAAACCTGGTTGAAATCCTGATTCCACTGTTACCTGTGTGACCTTGAGCAAGTTTGTTCATCTCTTTGTAATTCAGTTTCTTTATCTTTATCTTATCTTTATCTCTTTTTTTTTTTTTTTTTTTTTTTTTTTGAGACAGGGTCTCCCTCTTTCACCTAGGCTGGAGTGCAGTGGTGTGATCTCAGCTCATTGCAACCTCTGCCTCCCAGGTTCTCCTGCCTCAGCCTCCCAAGTAGCTGGGACTACAGATGCATGCCACCATGCCCAGCTAATTTTTGTATTTTTAATAGAGACGGGGTTTCACCATGTTGGCCAGGCTGGTCTCACACTGATCCACCCGCCTCGGCCTCCCAAAATGCTGGGATTACAGACATGAGCCACTGCACCCAGCCTATCTTTATTTTGTTTAAGTAAAACTGGAACAATAATATCGACCTCATAGATTGGTCCTGGGGATGAAAATACATCATGAATAAAAAGTTGCTTGGTAATATTATGTCACCAATTCCCTGTCATCAGCTGGCTGTCCTACAATTCAACTCAATTCTGACATGCACTACCCCGAGTTGAAGGGCACACAAGCTAACTACTACAGGGTAAAGGACAAAGTCATGAATATGACCATCCCCACCTCAGGCACCAGCCACAAGTGGGGTCCCCAGGTCACCCACACTTCCAACTGACTTGGCTATAAATTTAGGAGTTCCCGTTACCCCTCTTCAGGTTCAATAATTCATTAGAATGAGTCACAGAACTCACCGAAAGCATGGTACTTGCAATCATATTTCAAAGTGTCCAACTCTGGAACACCCACGTGGAAGAGATGCATCCATAGGTCAGGGTGTAAGGTGAGGCACACAGAGCTTCTGTGCTCTCTCCTGTGGAATCCAGGCACACCACTTGCCCAGCACATCAATGTGTTCACCAACCAGGAAGTTCCCCAACACCTTGGAGTCCAGAGATTTTTTTAAAAAATCAAGGGGCGTTTGTTACAGAGGCATGAGTGGTTAAATCATTTGCCACTTGTCTGGACTCAATCTCTAGCCCCTCTCCGTGCTTTGGAAGTGGTGGGGTGGGGGGGCAGTGGGGGTGGAGCTGATGCTACAGGCTTCTAATCATGTGCTTGGATTTTCTGAGGTGGCTAGACACTTCCTTGAAACTAAGGGCCTATTATACGTCACCTTATTAGTATAAACTCAGGTTCAGTTGAAAGGCGCTCGTGATGAATAACAAAAGACATTCCTACTGTCTTTTGGGCATTTTAGGAATTCCAAAGGTTTTTGAAACTCTGTGCCAGGAACCAGGGACAAAGACCAGATATAGTCTTTCTTATATCACACCTGGCTCATCACACGCTGGTCTCTGATCTCCAGCATCCTGCTTAGCTTCTTTTTTGTGATACCGAGGTTGACCTGTTCCCACTCTCTGGTTGGGAAACTGGACATTCTCAGTCTTTTTCTGGATGTTCTTCTTTTTGTCAATATAGCTCAAGATTGAATTAGTTTTTTAGACTAAAACACATAATTACAGTTATTTAGTGTGCACCTGTTTATAATTGAATCACAAGCCTCTCATTACTTGAATTCCTAATGCTAAGATGACTTAAGCCCTGAAATCACACATAATAAGAGTAAATAGTTAATAGCACTTGCTATATGTATCAAGCCCTGTTTTAAATACTCTACATACATTAACTTCACTAATCCTCACAAGTACCTTTCAAGGTAGTTAATTTACTACAGTCCCCATTTTATATGTGGGGAAACGGAGGCACAGAGCAGTTAAATAACTAGCTCAAGATTACACAGATAATAAGTGGCACAGCTGAGATTTGAACCCAGATGGTCTTGTTCCAGAGTCTCTGCTTTTAATTGCTAAGCCATTCTGCACATAACTTTTTGGAGACAGAAGGAAGGAGCACAAGAGGATGCCTCTGATTCACAAAGCCAAAGGCTTGACCCAGGCCCCTGTTGTGATGGTGATGGAGTCAGGGCTTCCATGTCCTACACCACCCCCATCGGAGTACCTCTGGAGCAACCCTCTGGGGCTGGGCTCTAAGAAGGGAAGGCAGGCCTGGGGCATAGTGGTGTGAGCTCCTGTCCATCAGGCCCAGAGCTTCTTGGTTCTTTGCACTTCAGAGAGGGCAGAGCTACTTCACAGCCTTCACAGACCAGTTGCTGGGAAATGGAACCGCTCCATGGGGAAGGGGAGATGGTCAACCTTTTCCTGCCTGGATGAAAAAGGGTTTATGCCAGGAAGGCTCAGTACAAGGCTGTGCTGGCCAAAATGATCCCAGTCCCAGAGAAGCTGAGAGTTCAGTTGGCTTGGAGCCTGGAGTCCTAGGGAGCACAGGGGGCTCACATGCCTATGCTCACATCCAGTGTACTCGCTGGGGAAGGGGAGTTGCTTGTTGCTGTTTTAAAAATAACATCAAAGGTTCAGGGCTTTGAAAGCACCAGAGAGAATTAATTTACTATGATGAGTCACTAAACAGAGAAGGAATGGGGTTCGATGAGGTGATGTCTCTGGAAGAGTTTTGTTCTGCAGTGCTGCCTGCCCAGAAGAATCTGGGTGGGGGCCATATGTCTGTGTGGCTCCAATGCAGTCCCATTATGTTTGACTTTGTCATCCCTTCTTATCTTCAAGGTCCAGGGATGAGGTTGGGTGTGAGCATGAGAGAGGTGAAATATTCTTAACTAACCCCATGCACATGGGATTGACTGGAATCCACAAAGCCAATGTGTGTTCTTTGCAGATGTTTCTCTATTGGCATCTGACTTGTGGGAGAGGCTCTGGGGGAAAGCAGGAAGGTCTCTTGCTCCAGGAAACCCAGATCCTCCATCCTTCTGCCTTTATTACATGAATGTATCTGTCTCCAACTCAGGTAAATCATAATGTCAGAGCTGGAAGGGACCCCAGAGGTGATTCGGTTCATTTTCTCATTTAGAGCTGGGCAAAGTGAGACCCAGAGAGAGGTAATGACTTGCCCAAGCCCATGCAGCTACTAAGTGACACATAGGGGCAAGACTGTGGGTCCCTGGACTTCTAGTCTAGAGCTCAGTCCACCAGCAACATCCCTGACTCAATCACTCTTTTTCCATTCAGATGAAAGGAAAGGGTCTGGATTTAAATGTTGCTAAGTATAACAACTATTCTAGCAGCCTGCCAAATCTGTTCCAAAATCTTTCTTTACAGAATCTTTTTTTTTTTGGCTGCCACTCCCAGCAGACCCCTTCCCCTACCTCCAACCCTTCATCTCCATCTCCTATTACCAAATATTTTGTCAACACTGCTGGTAAGTGTGGTGCTGGTTGAGGGAAATCAGGTAAGGGCTTTCATAAGAAGATGACTAACTAGTGGAATGATTAAGATCATAGGTCCTGGTTTGGCAGCTTTGCAGAAGCGGGCCATGGTGGCATTTGGAGCACTCCCACTGCCTGTTAAGAGAAAAATTTTAGGCAAATTAAACTTAACAGAGTTTGAGCAAAGCATGATTCAGGAACTGGGGAGCCCTCAGAACCAGAATGGTTTCTGAGTGCCTCTGAGACTGCCACATGATTGGATACATTTATGGACAGAAAAAGGAAAGTGACCTACAGAAAATGGAAGTGAGATACAGACACGGCTGGATTGGTTCAGACATGGCTGGATTGGTTACGGCTCTGTGTTTGCTTTATTGGAACAGTGTTTGAATAGTTGGCTACCTGTGATTGGTGGAAACTCAGCTGCTGTGGTTGGCTAAGACTCAGCTACTTGTCACAAGAGTAGGTTACAGTCTATTACACATCAGTTTATTATACGTGGAAAAGCCCTTAGGCTACACTTAAAATATGTAAGGAGGCAGCTTTAGGCCAAACTTAATGTAACATGTTCCAGGCCAAGTGTATGATGGGAGGTGGTGGTTTGAATGAGAGGAGGGGCCAAGACAGCTATGGGAAGTGGCCTGTGGTGTGGCAGTCAGACATGTGAGGTTTTGTGCCATCTTATGTCCAACTGGCTAGAAATGGCCAACACCTGAAATGGACACTTTCCATTACATGTTGCAACCAGTAACATCTAAACTATAGCTATTTCAACCCTGGCTGCTCATTAGGGATTAGGGAGCTTCTGAAAATCCTGATGTCCAGGTCATACCTCAGACTAATTATATTAGAATATCTGGTATCAATAGTTTTTAAAGTTCCCAAGGTGATGCTATTGTGCACTCTAGGTTGAGAACCACTGCTCTAGGCTGAGGGCTCAGACCAGCAGCTGATCCTTGAGGAACTCTGTCCATGTGCCTTCCCTTGAATGAACTTTTTGCCTTTTCCCTAAAGGAAGAATGCAAACAAGAACAACAAGAAACCATCTGTGTATTCTGGGCTGATGGAATGGCCTCCCACTGTCCTCCAAGCTTATCTATGGCATCATTCTCCCCTCACCCCACCCAGAGAGATTGCAAGGGTAGAGGGTGGAGTTCTGATAGAATGTGGAAGAAGAGGTTACAGGCAGCTCAGGGACAACAAGAATATGCTTTACTGGACATCAGCAAAGTCTCCTTTGTAATGAGTTTCTGACCAGAATCAAGGGTAGGCTGGGGCCAATAGGACTGCTGGAGCAAGGCTGGAGGGAGTCAGGACCGGCCAGCCACAGGCAAAGGGCAGATCAGGACCCGGGAGGCCAAGAGCCTTCTCCCAAAGAACAAGAGAGCACGCCATCTCCTCATGGAATGGGAGCCCATGGAGGTAAAGCAAGGGAGTGGCAGGTTATGGATAAGAACCCAGGTGTCCTGGTCCCTTGTAATGCTCTTTTATTTGTATCTCCACATGTATGTTAAAAAGCTAATTATTGTTCAGCCAAAGTACATGCTGCCTTCTGCTGAGAAGAGAATCGGCCAGCAGGGAGAAGGCCAACGCTCTGTAAGGCCACCCTGTGTGTTGAAGGGGCAGAGCACTGACTTAAAGGCCTTGCAGTGCTGACACAGGAAGGGAGATGGGCTTGACCAAACTCCCACAGCCGGGAAGTGAAGCCCGGAACCGCAGGCTTACTCTTCAGAAGGGCTCCAAGATAGCAACAGAAAACATTTCTTCATTCATCATTCACACATTTTAAAAAGCATGCTTGATTAGAAAAAATCCACGGCTTTCCCGCAGCTTGACTCTCCAGAGGCTGTCATGGTCCGTGCTCCAGGGAGTAGGTTTACACACAGCATGTGGGGATCTGGCAGCCGGGCAGCACAGCACCCTGCAAACCTTAGTTGTTGTTTCTCAACATGAGTTGAGTGGGATTGAAGAGAAAATAATTTTCCATTAATAAAGTTGCATACCTCTTTTTACACTTGAAATGAGAATCTGATTCTGCATTAAGACAAGTTTCACAGAAACAGATTCACCAATAAATTCCTTTCCACGGGCCAGAGCAAAGTTTAAGTTGTAAAGAAAAGCACTGGGCGAAGTGCTTCCCACATTTTAGTAGTTCCCATGCTCTTGTAGTAGTAGTTTCAGTAGGCCCTGTTTGATACTAATGTTCTTTTGTGAATTTCCCACCATAACTTTTTTTTCTTCTTAGTTCTGGGGTACGTGTGCAGGATGTGCAGGTTTGATACATAGGTAAATGTGTGCCACGGTGGTTTGCTGCGCCTGTCAACCCATCACCTAGGTATTAAGCCCAGCATGCAGTAGCTATTTCCGCCATAATTTTTGAGGGGCCTTCTTAGAGGGTTTCCATTTTAGATGAAGTACTAATTTCCAGTAAGTAGCTTACCACTACATAGGTGTGCATCACAGAAATGCTCAACAAGGTCTGCAGGTCATGTTTGCATTCGGGGAACTCTCTACTCCAAGCCAAGTGGAACCATTTAAGCGCTGGCTAGTTGGGGAAGGGAGTGGATACCTGAACCCATGTTTTTACTTAGTCTCATGGCACAGCAGCGCTCCTATAGATGGATATATGGGGCCGCTGCCGGCGTCCTGCCCTCCTCCCCAGGCTCTGCCTCTACTATCCTGGGAATAGCCGCACCCCACTGAGAATCCAACCGAACCCAGTCCTGTTCTCTGGGAAGCGGGTACCCCGATGGGGAGCACCAACCAACTGCATACCCTCTCCGCTTCTCTGTAGGGTTCCAGGAGCGGATTGCAAACCCACCGGGAAAATGAGCGAAGAGACGGTCCCTGAGGCTGCCTCGCCGCCGCCCCCGCAGGGGCAGCCTTACTTTGACCGCTTCTCAGAGGATGACCCCGAGTACATGCGTCTTCGCAACCAGGCAGCAGACCTGCGGCAGGACTTCAACCTAATGGAGCAGAAGAAGCGCGTCACCATGATCCTGCAGAGTCCTGTGAGTGGGGCTGACCCGGACGGGAGAGGGCGCAGGAGGCGCTGGCTCTTCAGGGCATATACCCACGCGAAAGATGAGTAACTCCTCTTCCCCTTGCTCAGGGTCGGTAGAAATGTAAGCCCACTGAGCAAGACG